AACTCTGGCGTCGCAGGGCGAACCACATAAACACTATTCTGCCTACTTTTGCCAGATCCCCTGAAGGAGCACGAATCCGCAAAGCACCTCCCGGACACCGCGTTTTACCTGAAGGAAACGTAGGGCCATCTTAATAAACTCTCGCCACAACACCTGCCACGCTTGGCCCAATCACCGACGCGCGTTGGCCAGACGAGTCGCCGGTCTGCCCCCCGGGACCCGCGACTGACACCGCAGCCCCAGCCGGAGCCGAAGCCCCCGCGGATGAAAGAGCCGAGGCCCCAACCGCCTCCGCGGCGAAATGGTCCCGGGGAGGTAGTGCACTCCCGCCCCACAACAAACCTGAATGCTTAGAGGATGGCCGGCCCGAGCACCAGACAGGACACCCAACCACATCAGCACGACCATACCCCTACCGATAGGCACACACAGGGGCACCCCGAATGGGGTTGGGGTTAGCCGCGTCCATTGCCCTCAAACCCCTGAACGCACCTCCCGTAGGCCCAAGACCTTGGCGGGGGGGGTGAACCGCGGCGAGAACTGTGAACCGGGAGAGGAAAGGAGCAGGGAAGGGGAGGGGAGGAAGAGAAGAGGAGGGGCGGAAGGGAGAGGCGGAGGGGGGGGGAGGGAGGAAGAGAGGAGGGGCACAGACCCGCCACAGCCTACCCCCCACCCCCAGGGGGTCAGAAGCACCAGCCGGGGATGAGGACGACGCGTTTCCGACGAGCGGCCACGAGGAGGCCTGTGCACCTGCTCAGCCACATGCTTAAACGCATCACTCTTTATTGACCATGTCTTCTGCGAAGCCCATCGACTATGAGACATCATCGGGACATATCGTGGGGATAATGAATATCCAGGCGAGAGACTGGTTGTCAACCGAAACGACGGCAGAGCTGTTCGCTTCGCAGAGCATGTGATCTCAAGAAGGAATGTTCGGAAGGACAGATCATCGAGGACCTTCTGAACGCGACGCAAGTATGAGCGCCCTGGACAGGCGACATAACTCTCACATTCTGCCCAACAAGAAAGCATCATTTAACATGTTTGACTTGACAAAAGGGGTATCCGTCAGTTGATTCAGCGAAGCGATCCAAGGAGCCACCCTCGGGTAAAAGGGATGGCGCAACCAGAACTTCTACAGGGGAACCTTCTGAAACAGTGGTGGCGCACGTTGGCTCTCAGAAATTGATAGACGTAGATCTTGAGATGGAACAGTTGCTGGATACCGATCTCTTAAAGGTATCAGGTGTTGAACGTTTGGGCGCCGGGGGTGCTGTTCGATGCACGTTGCATGGGCAGGTTGAACATGTGAGCGACATTCAATATGAAGAAGGTAGCTCCCATTCGATGGAGAAGAATGAGGGGTATGCTCGATTTCAACATTCGCCTGGACCGTCGCGCCACCTTGAACCTCTTCTTGATTTGTGTGCCGATCCTGTTCCGCTGCGCCGCCGACGAGCAAAACAACAACAAATGACCACACGAGGATCAGGATGACGACGACGAGGACGGGCGCAGAGGGGGACAGCGGCGACTGCCCCCTCGGCGGGCCCCCCCCCCGAGGCGCCTGCGCCGTTCCGGATTCCGCAGGCCGCGGCGGCGGCCGCGGCGGCGGCCGCAGCAGCCGGGGAGGCCCGCCCGTTAGGGGGGAAGACGGGCAGGAAGCACGCGCGGGAGGGGGGGAACGCCAGGGAAAGGTGAGGGGGTGGAGGTCGGGCGGGAGGCATGAAGGAAGGAAAGAGAAAGGGGGGGGGAACGTCGGATGGAACCAGCGCAGAGCGTCCACGCGCATGCCCAGCAACACCTCGTTTCCTCGGAAGGGGGGGGGCGCGCGGGCGGGCGGCAGGGATGGGTGGGATGGGGGGAAGCGCGGGGACGAGGGAGGGGTCGGCGGCGATCGAGGGGGAGGGGAAGTAGTAAGAGAGGGCCTCCTCAGAAGGCGGCGGGACTTCTCAGAATCCCTCCATCCTTCTGAAGAGGTATTTTGCGTCTTCGGGGGAGGCTTAGACAACTCTTCGGGAGGCCAACGGATTGCCGAGCCTTCTGAGAAGGCCCGCCCCTTCTCACTTCCCCCCGGGGCTCGCCGCCGACAGGAGGAATGAAGGAAGGAGGAAGGAGGGGGACGAAGGAGTGGGCCAGCGTAGAGCGTGCATAAGCATATCTAGCAACACTTCGCTTCCCCCCTGGATGCCTCCAGACGCATCAACATCGCGGCTTCCCTGCGCCCGCGTGGGGTCCATGTGGCTGCGGGCATGCGCAGATCCATTGGTACCTCGCCTTCCTTGCATGGTGCCAGGCATGCAGCTACATCGCATGTCCTGCACCCTCGTGGATGAAATCCAGCGGAGTGCGGGTCCGCGCACATCCAGCTGGACTTCGATTGCCTCGGGTGCAGAAAGCCATGCGACTACTGTCGCCTCCCTCCTGCTGCCCTGGGAGGTCCATCGGGGTGCTGACACTCGCAGATCCAACAAAACCTTGCGCTTCTTGGGTGCTTGCCAAACGTGCAGCTGTCCACGGTCTCACGTGCCCCTGGTGGCTGGTGGTCCAGCGGAGTGCGGACACACTCGTGGAACAGAGAGACCTCGGACACACGTAGATGCGCCCTTGCTTGCCCAGTGTGATGCCGCCACTTTCCTATGGCCCTACACGTCTTCTTTGGCCAGGCTCGCGACGCCTTCGGCGGTCTCCCGATGCTGCGCGAGCAGCCGGTGTGCGGACACACGCACGTCCAACCAGACCTCGCCTTTCCTGCGTGTTGCTGAACGCGCTGCCGTCCCCATTTTTTACGTTACATCTTCGGGGGACCTCGCCTGTCCCCCAAATTGGTGGGTGTTTTTTCTTGTGCCCAACGCGGTCTCGATGCGGACTCGACGCGGATGTGGCGTGGATTCGACGCGGATTCGGCACGGATTCGACACGGATCCGACGAAGCCGACATGGATTCGACACGGACTCGACGTTGATAGGTCCGCGACGGGACAGACAATGTCCCCCCGAGGATGCAGCGTAACATTTTCCTGCGTCCCAGGGGGGTCAACGGGGTGCGGGCGCACTTGCGGGTCCCTGCCAGACTTCGCTCCTTCCTAGGTGCTGCCGTGCCCGCGTCTGTCGTGCCTGCGTCCTTGGGGGGGGGGCAGCTGAGCGCCTTTCGAAGGCTTTCTTTGTCGGCGGCGAGGCAGAGGCGGACCGCTCCAGCGTGTGGCAATTCGGGGCAACCGAATGGCTTTAATTGGCCGGCATGCAAGAGAGGGACAGGGAAGAGGGCGGCTGCGCGGAAGGAGGGGGAGGAAAGAGCAGTCAGAGGTGGAAGCGCCTTTTGGAGACGCCTGAATGACACTTCATTTCGTCGGGTGCTGCTGAACGCCTTGGGCTTCCTGGGTACGTTACTGGACATGATGCTCGTGTCAAGGTCCTGAGGGGAACCTTTGACATGGCGCATGCACTTGATTTGTTGCACCGGCGTTGTTGTGATCGGAAGGCGGATAGTTGGAGGTTTTTGTTAAGTCTTCGCGCTCAGCAACCTTGACGTCTGATCACTAGTTGCCATGTAGTCATTTGAAGACTTGTTGTGAGACGGGTTGTGGGAGGGTCGTCAGCTGTAAAACAATTGAGGAGACACCTGTGATGCCAACACTAGGGTCGGCCCGATCAGCTTGCACCAATTGCCATCTCTAATATCTCTGTGAGCCCCTTGGGGCCGCATTCTGGGGAGCCTTTAGGGCCCTCCTGGAGCCCGTGATGGTAATCTTTCCCCATGTCCTAATTTCATGATGGCCCCGGTTTTGTCCAGTTCGGTCGGTCTCGCGAAACGAGTGAGCAGAACATCAAATTAAATTTGGACGTTTGGTTCTTCGTGTCGCGTCTCGGCCTCACTGACTTTGCTCACTCGCCCGCCTCTCCCCTCTCTCACTCGTGCCCAGGTCTTCCTTTGCACTTGAACCATCTTCGCACTCGCCCAGTCTCGCTGAGATTCGGGCTCGCTCGTGCTGGCTCGTGCCCAGACTTCTTCAGACTCAGGCTCAATTTCGCACGCAGGCTATGTCCTGCTCTGTCCTCTCTCCCTCTCCCTCTCGCAGGACCCCCCCTCCTCCTCCTCCTCCTCCTCCTCCTCCTTCTCCTCCTCCTCCTCCTCCAATCATGCTCATGGTCCCTCGTGCCACTCCTGCTCGGGCGCATCCCCTATAACTACCCTGCACGTGCTCTCGCTCCCCGGGTCCCTCTAAGCTTGCAGTCCTGTGGTTTTCCGTCGCTGCGCTCCCCTTGCCGGCCCAGCTATGCAGCATCGTCGGCACCTGCCTGCGTGCTCGTGCCTCGTGGGGCCGTGCTCGTGCCTCGTGGGGCCTCTCGTGGGGCCTCTCGGGTGGCCTCTCCGTGGCCTCTCGGGGCCTTGTGCCGTGGGATCGTGTGTGCCTCGGGGGGCCTCTCGAGGCCTTCTGGCGGTCTCCGAAGCCGCATTTGGTGGACTCGCAGTTTTGGTTCCCCCTCTCGGGCTCTTCCGAGGGGACGTCTTGGGATCTCTCGGGGCGCCTCTTGGGCCTTCTTGGGGCCCTCCATGTTGGGGACCTCTTGGGCCGTCTTGTACAATATTGAGGGCCTCTTGGGCCGTCTTGGAGCGTTGGAAGCCGAAACAAGACGAGAACGTTCAAGTCTTTCGAAGCCCGAAGGAACTCAATGATTTTTGCCTCTATTGTCCCTGTTGTGGTCCTCTTGAGGTGCTCTTGAGGCGTTTGGTATGCCTCTTGGGCCGCGAACAATCATTCTTGGAAGTCTTGGAGGGCTCTTGGACCGTGTCGGCCCCTCTTGGGCTCTTCTGCAGGCCCCGTGGAGCGTTCCTGGAACGCTCCTGGTGGCCTCGGCACTCTCTGAGCCTGTTCTTCGTCTGGGGACCTCCAGGTGGCGCCACGACGCGCTGCGCTGCGGAACAAGGTGCTGGAGTCGTTGCTCTGGAACTGCAGGCCGGGGGAGGCAGCGCCGCTCAGGCGCCCTTCGAGTCGATGTTTGTGTATTTTGAGGTCCTCTTCCATGAGGTGCAGCAGGGTGTGGGCTTCGAATCGAAGCCTGGCGCAGCTGCGGCGAAGGCGGCCCTGCGTGAGCGTGGGGCCCAGGGCGTCGCCTCACGACTGGGCAAGATGAGCAAGCTCCGCAATGCGGCGGGGCACCCGGACGTGCGGCTGCTGCATGACATTCGAAGGGTGTTCGTGGAGCCAGCTTTCGATGATAACGTGCAGATGAAGTCGAAGCAGGTCGCCGAGAAGGTGAATCAGACCGAAGCGCTGATGCAGTCCAAAGTCGGCAGCGATCAGCTCTCCGTGAAGTCCTTCGACCCGAAGCTCGAAGGCAAGAGCGTGGAGCCGCAAGCGATGGACATGAAGAGCAACACGTCCCAGTGCAAAGGCATCGATGGCGGCAAGTTCCAGCATGACGAGGCCGCAATCAACGATATCTTGCGCAAGGACATCTCTGAGCTGAAGGCGGAGCTGGCGGCGGAGACGGGAGCCATAACCACGGCGGCATCCGAAGTGGAGCAGTTGCAGCAGCAGGTCGAGACATTGCACGTCAAGCTGGACAGCAACGGCCTCCGAGCGCAACGGCACGGTCGCAGGGCTCGAATTTGAGCTTGTGGCCACGAGGGTGGCTCTGGCCTCGGTGACTATTGGCAGCGGGCAGTTGGCGCAGCAGGTCGTGGAGCTGGCGCCCGGGAAGTCGGAGGCGGAGCAGGAGCAGATGGACCCCCGTGTGGCGCTCGCCGACGCCAAGCAGAGGCTAGAGGAGGTGAGACACAACGCCGCCGAGGCGTGCCAGAGCGCTCTCGCCCTGGCGCGGGAGGCGGTGGCTGTGGCGGCGCCCCGTGAGTGTCGGCGCCGGGACTGGCGAGGTCGAAGATGCGCCGCGTGGGTGCAGGGCAGCGGGAGGCAGTGCGCGGGGCTGGTGGCGGCGTGCGTGGTCAGGCGTCGCCGTGGCCGGGGATCCGTTACGCGCGCTGCCCTTGTCGGGGCGACTGAGGCGGTGGGGCGTCGCTGTCCTCGTCGGCGTGGTTGTCGAGCTCTTCTGAGCTCCTCCCATCTCGCTCCTCCCAGCCAGCGCCAGCGACGGCATGGCGAGGCGCGGTCGGACTGTTGCTGGGGGAAGGCGGGTTCGTTCAACAGCGAATCGTTGAGGCCCCGTGGGATTGCTGACAAAAACGGCCGCCACGATCGCCTGTGAGCACGGTCGTGATGTCGATCGTGATATCGATAGTTGAACCGATCGTGGGGTCGATGCGGTAGTCAGATCGATGGTGAGATCGATACAGAAATTGATCGTGATATCGATCTTGGGGCCCACTGTGCGATCGACTGTGAGATTGGTCGTAAAATCGATCGTGGGTTCGATTGTGAGATCGGTTGTGCGATCGATCGGCAGATGGATTGTGACGTTGACAGTTGTAAAGATATCGAGATCGATCGTGAGATCGATATAGATGTCGACTATGAAATCGACAGTGAAATCGATCGTGGGATTGATCGAATGATGCCGGTGGTTAGATCCATATCGAGATCACTTGTGGGATCGCTGGTGGTACCGAAAGTGATGTCAATGGTGATATACTTGTGTGAGATTGTTCGCGAGATCGTTCGCGATATCGAGTGCGATATTGATTGTGAGTTCGATGGTGAGATTGGCAGTAATAAGGTCGATCGTGTGAACGATGGTGAGAGGGATCGTGAAATTGATAACGAGATCGGTCGTGAGATCGATGGTGACATGGATTGATTGAGAAGTTGGTCCCCCCGAGCCTACTTATCACCCGAAGTGTGGTCGTATAGGTAATCCCGTTACATCCTTGTGCCTTGGCCCCTCCAGTCCTTTTTCTTCTCCCGCCCGTCTCTCTCTTTGCCTCCGGCCCCTTCTTCTCTCCTGCCTCTCTGTTTCCCGAACTCTTCCCACACAGGTTGTCGCGATCCTGCTGCTCCCTCTCCCTTGTCCTGGCCCCCCGGAGGCCCCGGCGCCCCCAGCGCCCGAACACCTTAACGCCCCAGAGCCCGATCGCCTTTGGGCGAACAGCAATCCTCACATCGGTGACGACGCAGGGATCAGGGCGCTTTCTCCGCGAGGCTGCGCCCTGGGCAGAGGGGTCCGGGGGAACCCAACTTCGGCACTGTTGAAACGTCTGTGCGTCATTGCAGGCCAGCTACAACTGGGGGGGCTGTGGTCATTCCCCCCCTGGGGGACCCATCGATTTCGACACCCCTCTCGAGAGGTCGTCGATGCGATGGGTTCCCCCAGGGGGGTAAGGACCACAGCTCCCCCAATTGTGGCTGGTGGGCATTGCTCTCTCTCTCTCTTTCCCCCCCTTCCCCGGCTCCCCCCGGAGGCCCCGGCGCCCCCAGTGCCCGAGCGGCTCAAGCGGGCGGAGGAGTCCGAGGCCGCTCGGCGAGCGTTCGGCGAGCGGGAGGCGCCGCAGGCGGAGGCCGACGACGACAGCCCGTGGCTGAAGAGGAGGGGGGGTCTCGGTTCGGGGGCGGCAGAGAGGGGGTGATGACCAGGGCCTAGGGGGGGGTGGATATCATGGCGTGGGCCATGATATTTCCCCAGATCTCATGGCGCCTCTTCTTGTTTCATGACGTCCCTGGCCCCCCCGCTGGGCCGCGCACGTGCCGCCGGTCATGATTTGCACCCCCCCCTCTTGGACAACCCCCTCTTGGCCGCTCCCGATCGGTGGAACAGGAAAAACCGACACAGACATACACTTGGAGCGCCAACAGTCGACTATGTTTGTGCCTCTTTTTTGTGTCTAGAAGGGGAGGGACGGGATGTCAGGGAGAGTCGCGAGGGAGAAGGCGGGGAGCGCAGCGGAGAGAGGGAAGTGGGGGGGAGGACGGACGTGGCGGGAGGAGAGTATGGCAGGGAGTTCGTCGAGTGACGGGAGGGAGTGAATAGGGAGGAGGGGCAGAGATTGCGGGCGAGATGAGAATGGAGGCAGGCATGGTTGGAGGGACGGAATAGAGAGGGAAGGTAAGCGATGAAGAGAAGGAGAATCAGGAAGGAAAGGAGTGCATGAGGTGAGGGACGGGAGAGTTGAAATGATGGCACGTAAAGGAGGGAATGAAGGAAATGGATGGATGAGTTCGGGAAGGGAGGCGTATGGGAAGGTTGGTAAAGGATGATGAGGTATGGATGGGGAACGGTAGAAACGCAGCGAACTCGTGGCATTGTTCATGCCATTGGTCCACTGGGCAATTTCTCGTGGGTCTTGCGCGCACCCGTGGCGCCACCACGGCAGGATGCTTTCGGGCTCTTTTTCCAAGTGCCGCATTTCGCAGCAATTTCTCTTCACCCCCCTTTCACTCCTTCTGCTCCTCCTCGCCATCCTCATCATCCTTTTGTCCTGCCTCCCCTCGCCTGTCTGTGCGTTCCTCCACAAGTTAATGCTTGTGCTGCCCGTCTTGACGTGCCACTGCTGCAGTGTGGCTTGTGTGCTCCACCATCTGCTGGCAGCGCTCTTCCTGAGCTGCCTTTGCTATCATCGCGGCCGCTCGATGTACCATCGGACCATTGCTGATGCCTCATCTGCCTGCACGTTTCAGCCGGAAAAAACAACTTCCGCGAGCAACGCTGGAATTCATATTGCAGGGTTGGGGCAGGATCCTCGTAGTGGGCGACGAGACGCTGTGTTTCACGACCGCGATGCAGAATGCGCACACGGAGTTTGAGTTCTCTGCGATGACGGTCCTCTTCTCACGTATTCGCTGTTTCTCTGCGTTCAGTATGCATTTCACCTATGTGGTCAGGCCTGGTTTGGTGCGAATCGTCGGCGGGTCTTCTCGTTTCTCTTCTGCCGCCTCCTCCAGCTGTGAGCCGCAAGGAGCATTGAGGCTTATGATGTTCCAACCTTTTTTTTTTTGCCTCGATCACCAGGAATAATTTCGAGCACCAGGCAAGTGCCAAAACTCGAAGGGTTTCACGTGTCGGGCCCCGGGAGGCGAGACTCGTTCGAGACTGTTCCGATACTTCCCTGGGTGCTCGAAGTTGTTTTTGGGCTGTGGTCCTGAAGTACGATGGGAGCAACATGAACAGAGGCACCACTGCTCCTCAACATTTGTCACGTGTGCGGAGCTACACTGTCAATGCCGCGCTTTCTTGTGGCTTTGCTCTGTTCCTGCTCGCATCGCACACCGCCAGAGGCGGCGGAGACCAAAAGTGCACTCCCGAGCAGTCCCCGTGAGGCCCGTGGCAGGAGGGGGCCAGAGCCACTGGCCGCCCCCCAGGCACGGCGCCTGCGGCGGAAGGTCGCCTTCACCGGGCACCGCGCGCATGCTTCTCGGAGTTCGAGACGGCAGGATGGGCCGATTCGATGTTCCACCACCACTACCACAGGGAGGAGGAGGAGGAGCAGGAGGAGGAGGAGGAGCAGGAGGAGGAGGAAAAGGAATACGCGTACCTCCCCAGCCTCCCTTCTTCCCCATCCGACTTCTGGTAGTGACGGTGGAAAACTGGCCCATCAAAGGTAGGATGAATCAGGGCCGGGCGAGTGGAGCGGGCCGGGCGCCCGGCGAAGGGGCGGGGCGCCCCGAGCTAGACATAGATCGGCAGCTCTTCCGAGCAATGCCTGCTCTGATTCCATAGACTTACCGTCATATCCGCCGATCCCTTGTTTCTGTACAGCCTTTCTCTCCGGCTGTGGCGGACGCCTTCATGACGGCGGCATTTGGTTATGAGTAGACTGTTTTGGACTAGTCGTGGTTTCGTGGTCGTGTTCGAGAGGCGCGAAACTGGATGGTTCCCGTAGCCCTTGCAGATGAGGATAGGAGTGATGGGGTTGATTTGAGAAGGAGTTCCCGCGGCAGGGGCACATCAGTGGCGCGCAGGTGACGGAACACTTGATGATGGGAGTGAAAGTAGTGTGCGCAGATTGCAAGGACCTTGGTTTCACGGCGCGCAGTTGGCAGGCGTACCGTTGCAGCGGCACGTGCATGAGAAAACTACCGAAGTCGGTGTTTTCCGCTGACAATGTCGCGCGCGACGGAAAGAAGGGCATCCTGAAGTGCAATACGTGCATTTATTCGTATTCGAGCGCCCGTTCTGCGGTTCGTTGAAGTAGGGCCAAGAACGGGAGACCGAGAATGGGAACGAAGCTGATGAGGAGGAGGAAGCCGAAAATCAGGAAACGCAGAAGGAGAAGGATGAGGATGAGGTGTAGGGTGGGTGGGTGGGTGGAGGGAGGATGAAGAAGACAGGAGGGGGACGAAGAGTGAGGATCCAGGCTTGGGGCCCTAAGTGGGGCTTTGCGGGCCTTTGGGGGCTATGTCGGCACCCCCGGGACGCACGTGTGCACCCTGGATCTGGAGACATTTGCGCGGGCTTCCTGGCCGCGAAGTCTTTCATAGTCTTCGGTCCATCCTGGCCTGGTTGCGCGTCAGAGTCTCGGGGATGTTTCGTAGGGTTTCTTCGGAACGCTCTCGGGGGGCGAATGGGGGGGGGGCAGTGTCAGAGTCCAGACGGAAACTCATTGGGATCATTGTGCTTGCCGCGGCTGCCATTCGCAGTGTTCGCCGTGGGCGCATGATTATCGAATGGTTTTCGGCCCATCCTGTCACCGTGCGTGGCATGTGGGTCTGAGGTTGGTGGGATCGTTGTGTTCGCCGTGGACGTCGAGTAGCCTTCGGTCCATCCCGCCACCGTGCCTGGCATGTGGGTCTGAGGCCAGTGGGATAATTGATGGGGTCTCTTCGGATTTTTTTTTTGATGGGGGGGGTTGGAGGCATCCAGCCACCGAGCCGGGGTTGTGGGGCTGAAGCCGATCGGATGGCCGATGGGTCTTGTGGGAGGCCTCTCGGGGGCGTCCAGGAGGCAGTTTTTGGACTTTTTGGGGGCCTCATGGAAGCCTCGTGAGGGTTTTTTGAAACCCTCTCGGAGTTCCCTGGGGGCTTCTTGGGCAACCTAGGGGCCCCTCTGGGCTCCCTCTTAG